CCCCCCCCTTACGGCGTGCGCGCTTACCTCCCGCGAAGACGACGAGCATAGTTTCCCCCTCCCTTACAGCGTGCGCGCTTATTTCGTTACATGTATCATTTGCGTTTTTCTTTCGTACCGATCTCTGATAACGATAATAATACTTACCAAACGTCGAACAATTGATATTCTTCTTCTTCTTTTTTACCGAGCTCTGATAATTACCTATGATAATTACCTCATCTTTTCTAATCTTACGTTTTGCACGGGTAAAAGGGCATAAGTGCAAGGGTGAAAATGCTTGGGCGCGAGAGAGAGGGAACCCGTGAGGTCCGAAAAAACACCCCCACTCCTGCGCGCCAAGAGGACGGTTTCCCCCACCCTTACGCGCTTATTTCGTTACATGTAAAATTTGCGTTTTTCTGTTTTACCGATCACTGATAATTACCGACCGGCGGTGTCCCCCTCTACCTTAACGACCGTATGTAATAATTGGATCCTACCTTACCGACCGTAGGTAATAATTACCAACCCCTCGCCGCTCGTCTCGCCCCTCTCCTCGGTTCCCGCTCCCCCGCTCCCCTCTCGGAGCTCCTGAGTTAGAACCGGCCTCTCTTTACTACTAAAAAAGTTGACAGTTTTTTGGGGATTTTTATCCCGTCACAAATAGTACTGGTGAAGAATTGTACAGCTTCCTATTAAAAAAATTATCAGATTATGAATTAGTTGTTCAAAATATTAGGGGACAATGTTACGACAACAGATCCAATATGAGAGGTAAAAATATTGACCTTCAAAAGCGCATCTTAGACATCAATCCAAAAGCACTTTTTGTTCCTTGTAATGCTCACACTTTGAATTTGGTTATAAGTGATGCAGCAAATAGTAGCGGCGAAATATTTGATTTTTTTGAAATTATTCAGGAAATAATTTTTTTTATTTCTGCTTGCACATATCGATGGACTCTTTTAAAGAAACGCGTTACAAATTTAACACTTAAAAGTCTTAATGAGACAAGACGGGAAAGCAGAATTAAAGCTATAAGACCATTAAGCCATAATCTGAAGAATATAATTGATAGTTTAGCTGAATTAACGAATGATCCAACTTAAGACGTAAAAACAAAAAATATGACTCTGTCACTGGAACAAAAGATATCTTCTTTCAAATTTATATGTTCTATAAATATTTGGCACGATTTACTTTCAAAAATAGATATTGTTAGCAAAATGCTTTAAAAGCAAAAAATAACTTTAGCTGGATGTGTGCATGCTTTAAAAAATCTAAAAAATTACATTATTCAAAAAAGAAACAATGAATGTTTTAATATGTTCATTAGTAACGGCGCCATATTACTATAATTCGCCATATAAAAAAACCACGTCAATTTTTGTACGAAAACAAAGCTGATTCGGTTATAGATCCTAAACAGCACTTTAAAATAAATTTTTATTTTATCCTTTTGGATCACATAAGCAATTCTCTGGATCAAAGGTTTGAATTAGTAAACGAATGTGAATCTCTGTTTAGCTTTTTATATGATTTCAAAAAAATGAATGATTATGCCTTAATGAAATCATGTATGAATTTGAATGTGAAATTCTGATGAAATCAAAATAATGTGTTACAAAGGGATTTTGGAGGTATTCAATTATATCATGAAATAATATCGTACCAGGAAATTTTTCCTGATGCATCGTTATCAAACAATCCCTTTTAAGTTTTACAAAAGATCGTAGATGCTGACATGTTATCTTGTTTCCCCAATTATACTATTGCACTGAGAATTTTTTTAACCCTGTCAGTTTCTGTTGCGTCTGGTGAAAGAAGTTCCTCGAAACTCAAAATAATTAAAAATTATCTCCGATTTACGCTGTCCCAAGAAAAACTAAGTATTCTTGCACTTATTTCTATTGAACATGAAATATCAGAAAGTATAGACTTATCAAAAATAATAGACGAATTTGCGTCTTTAAAAGCCAGAAAAGTTAATTTGAGAACGTGATTTGGTACAGAAATTTTGTTATTTAATTTTAGAATGTATTAAAAGATATATGTATCACTGAAAATTATTTGTTGTCATTTTCTTTATAAATAATTATTAAAATAAAATAAACAATACATATTTTACAAATGAAATTATTCATTTATCCTATTCTATATACTATGAACATTTTTGAATTTTCACAAATTTTAACGCAATAAAGGGGCAGCGAAAAATGGATTTGCACAGTGGCAGCCAAGCACTTAGGACCCGCACTGTAAACACTATCTACTTTTAATTGTGGATTTTACTTACTCTTTTGTTGATCATGTTATATGCTCCTCTTCTTGTTGTAAACAGGTAAAAAGTATCACTTTATAAAGGTAGCATATGGGTAATGCGTGCACACACGGATTACAAGGCAACGTTACTGTCTCTTGTGCATTATTTCTTGCAATATCTGTTGAAATTTACTTCTTCTGTCTTAATAACTTGCATATTCCTCACTTGCTAACTTGCTATTCTTCACTCTAATCTATATTTCTCATACAACGCACAAGTATTTCTTATTCATTAAGCTCTATGCTAACCAGTTTTTTTCAAATGTTGAATAACGTTAGTCATGCTGTTTAATCTGGTTTCTCGTCGCTGCAATCGTTTTTGCAGTATTCTAACTTTGTTCCGCAACTGCATTACTTCCTCTGATGGTGATAAATACCTATCCTCTGTTTGGACACCAACGTCCTTTTTCATTGAGGTACTCGTTTCTTCCTGGAGCAATAAAATTTAGATTAAATTTTTAATGTGGCTTTCAGAAATAAAATTATGACAACATAAGGGATTTTGGTTCAGGCATACCTTTACACGTTAGCATTCAAATTTAAGACTTACGTACCATATTAGTGCTCGAAGTTTGACACAACACATTAGCTGTTGATGTTCGATATACTAAATTATTACTCGAATTTTCACAAACCCTATTAGTATGTGAAACTAAAGGTTTGCATGTTATTACCTATAAAATAAAAAATATTTATAATTATTGCATACATATTTACATAGTATATTACGTATTGTGTATTTACATACCTCATACAACTGAGTACTCATCACTGTAGAATTCAAACTAACTGAGCTACGGAAATTATAATTAAACAATGTAGGGACTGCTTGTGGTTTCAATCGACGCAGAACAGTTGCAGTTATTATGGGCTGGAATGATTCGGGAGTAAAGTGCTTGCTACAGATCGTACTGAATTTCGTTATTTTCAGCTGCAAGCTTGGAGGTATTGCTGCGACAAATTTTTTAAGTTCATCTGGTTTTGTTGGGAATCTAGTAACAAACAAAATTACGCTCTTAATAATAAGAAACTAAACTTTTCGTTACATGAAATATGCAATTATTTTTTCACTTTTACTTACTTATGAAAACTAACGTCCGGATTCAGCTTTGACGAATTTCTACAATTTTTAATGCAACACGCTTTGCCCATTTTTTCACACAATATCTATCGCATACGTTATCACCTAAAATAACTCACTCGAGAATGCTAAACGATGCTCGGGTAGGTTATGTTACGGCGTACGTTTGTTCTCCCTCAAAAAATAAATTTGCTATAGGATAATACCGGAACCACCTTCGACCATACATACATGAACTGCTCAAACTATAGTCTAGTCACTGATCTATCCCCATAAAAAACTTCAAAAAAGTAAAAAAATTACGCCAAGTACATGAAAAAGTGGA